CGAGGGGTCCTGTGTCTAGGCATGGCCAGCCGAGTGTGTGTGTGTCTGTGTGCATGTGAGTGCCAGTGTGAGCCTTTATCTTGGATTGTCCTTATGTTGTCACTGTGTGTCTGTCACACATGGCATGGTAGGGGATAGTGGCTTGCTGGAGTGGAAAGAACCATGGGCTGGGGACCAGAAGGTTTGAATTTTGGTTCTGGAGGCCTCCCCTCCTGGCTGTCTGACCTTTGCAGCCAGATAACCTCTCTGAGCTTCGGGTTTCCCACCTGTGTAATGGAAAAAAATGATACCAGCTCCTCTCTCTGTAAAGTGTAAGAATAAAATGAAGTAACACGTGAAAATGCTTGTTAATTACTACGTACGGTACAAATGTGAGAGATTATTATCGTCATAGCCCAGCGCATCAGAATGAGACGTTGTATGTGGCTTAAAATAATCCATCCAGTGAGCAGTGTTGAAATGTAGGTCAAATGATAGCCTCTGAAGTTTACAGAGAGGCTGATGGGAACCACCTAATCTAACAGGCCACGAAATGTGAAAGTGCTTTGAAAGCTGCAAAGAATGACATAGATATAAAGTGACAATTATGTTTAAGTCTAGAAAGTACATTTTAGTCATCTTGTTTCCTGATTCTGGAGTCACAAAGGCCCAAGAGGCACTGGAGCTTCACACACGGTTGTCTTTGCGCGGGTTTGTGTATTTGTACGTGTGCCTCTGCTGTGTGTGTGGACGCGGTTATTTATTGAGCATGTACTCTGTGCCAGTCACTCATCAGGTATTTTGTGTGCTTGCCTTGTGCTAGTGCATCAGTCTAGACGTTGTGGATGTCAGCATCAGCCAGACACAGGCACCTCCCTCAAGGAGCCAACAGTCGCGGTGCTGGGTCGTGGGTGCTCTGGGAGAGGAAGGGTCTTTCAGCTCAGTCTAGGTAGGGGAGGGGAGGAGGGGGCTCAGGGCAAGGGGATCCAGGGAGCTGGGCTGGAAGAGTGAGTGAGGTTTGCTGGTAAACCTGAGGGGAAGGTGGTCTGGGCAGAAGGAACGGTCTGCACGGAGGTGCTGAGGAGGGATGCGGTCTGCTTTTGCATGCGGTGCAGTCCGTTGGCACCCCAATGTAGAGAGGAGGCCAAGGCAATCCAGCCAGATCCTGGGGACCCTCCTGCACAGAGGCTAAGGAGCTAGGCTTGATCCTGCAGGCCCCTGGGAACCCCCTCAGCAAGAGTTTAAGCTCTGCAGAGTGACATAATCAGCTTTGCGTTTTGGAAAGAGCAGGGAGCCCCAGTGTTCCTGCGTATCTTGCAGCAGCGCCCACCAGATGCTGGGCAGTGAGTGATAGCTGCACATGTAGGGCTGTGAGCTGGGATTTGCAGGGAGGTGGGGAGGGGAGGATGGGAAGGGGTGGGGTGGGAGTGATGCACTTTGGTGAAATGTTCTAATCAGGATGTGTGGAGCTGGAAGGAAGTTAGCAATTCTCGAGAGACTATCATATGTCAGCTTTCACTGTATTACCTCATTTAATACTTCCACTAACGCTGTGAAGTAGATATTGTCCCCATTTTGTAGATGAGGAAAGCAAGACTCCGGTTAAACAGATTAAAGTTACTAGTAAGTGAAGAGCAGAGCAAAACTCCCAAGCCAGCTCTGCCCTCTCACGAGCCCACCGATCTAGAATTTCTGCCCCCTCCCCCACTGGAAGGATGGGCTAATTCAGTCCCCTTAGTTGACAGATGAGGAAACCAACCTGGGCTCAAATCTGTTCCTGCTAAACGTGTTACTGTTTCCCAGCTGCTCCAAGTCACTGTGGATCAGATTCTTCTCTTTCAGGCTATTAGTGACGCCTCCTAATGCAGTGCTACTTGCAGATTTGATAAGCATATTTTAAATTCCTTTGCTCAGCCCATCAGTAAAGACATTGACTAAAACAGACCCCGTGACAGATGCGAGAATGAACCACTCGATACGCCTCCGTGGAGCCGTTGAGGGGCACGGCCCGAGCCATCTGCTCACCCTTCTCGGTGCATTAGCCCCCTGCCTCGGCAGAGTGACCCTCAGGCAGGCCGGAGCAGAAACCGTCGCTTCCGCTTTGCCCTGCCACTTGTCGCTCCATCACGGAAGAATGATACGTTGGCGGAGGATAACATGCTCTGCACAGAGCTGTGCTTCGGGACCAGATGGGAAGGGCCAGGGCCAGGAGTCGTTCAGACCTGGGTGTGAATCCTGACCTGGGCTCGTGTGGGGTCTTGGTTTCCCCAGGCACAACCCAGGAGTGTGTGAGACCTGAATGCTGGACCAGCCAGAGAGCACCTTGCACCAGGCACAGGTGCAGCTCCTCGTGCGTGTGGCTCCCTGCCTGGCGCTCCCCACACTCTGGGGACCCGTCAGACCTGGAGGGGTGGCCTGGCATCCGGGGGCTCCCCCTTCCTCCTGGGCTGGGTTGCACTGAATCGAACCCAACAGGGAAGAAAGACGTGCTGATTGTGTACGGTAGCCAGGCCCAGCACGCAGGGCGTAGGTGAGGAATTGCGGCAAGTCCGTGCATGGCAGAGGGGCCTGTCGGGCCCCTAGAGGCTTCCTCCACGTGCCTGATGGAAGCCAGTGCCCATCCTGAAATGTCAAGTGTGGTAACTGTGGCTCCTTGTGGCTAATCAGAGGCTCTGTTTGGCTTTCACATCTCCGGTTAGCTCAGAACAAAAGTTGGAAAATCAAACGAATCCCTCTAATAAATGCAACTTGTTAAAGAAATAGTTCAAAGCTTAGAATTTCTGGAGGGTAGGAGCTTTTCCAGAATCTGTTCTAGGCTCCAGAGATTCAGCAGTGAACAAAGTAGACAAAGGAATAGACCATTTGTTCACCTTTCCTCTCAAAAACCTGAGAGGCAGGCAGAATGGACACCTTCATACCCATTCTACAGATGAGGAAACCGAGGCCCAGAGAGCCTGCACGTCTGTACCTAGGAAAGGGACCCGCTGGGCTCGTAGGCACTTTGCTCTTTCTGTGACCTCACACGGACCTGGATGGTTTTATAAACGCTGATCAAGATGGTGCCCACTGGGCAGTGGTGGAGTCAGACCAAAAGCACCATCTCAGCCTGAAATTCACAACAGTGTATAGATCCAGTCGAAATCTTCACAGATACTAAGCTGCATTGGTATTATTTCCTCTCTGTGTCAAGTGATCCTTTCTCCCATGGGGGCGTCTGTGGGGTCCTCAGAAGACGGCCCAGAACCAGCAGGCCTGACCTCCTATGGGGCACGTGCCCTTGGGCACCCTGAGCCCTCAGGGAGGTTCCCACCAGTTGGCTGCCCTCCCCACCCCTCTGCCATGCTTTCCTGAAAAGAGCCCCTCCAGGATCTCTGGTCCCAGGGCCAGCCTCTTCCTCCACAGATGGCACAGAGCTCCCCTGTCTCTGGGCTTCCTTTTCAGATCCTTCCGTGGCTGGACTCCTCAAATTGTCCTCTTCAGCCCTTCTCCAGCCCCTCATTCTGCGCAGCTTAGTGACAGTGCTCTCTGGAGTCAGCCATTACAACCCCTAGCCAACTCTTTGTCCTGGGCATCTTTGTGTGGGACAACTTTGGTCTTTTGGGCCGGGAGCTCTAAATTCCTTGCTCCCACTGTACATGGCATCCCCTCCTGTACCTCTGACTGGTCTCTCTCCATCTCCTGTATGACCTCTGCCCTCCCTAGCTTGACTGTGGCCACCACGCGGTGTAAGGCCTGGTGCCTCCCTTCATCCCCATGTGCATCTCTTCGAGGCCTCCAGACCTCGAGCTCTGATGGTCTGCCCCACAGACATGCCTCGAATGGATGGATGGTTGGAGGGGCCACTGATGCCCTTCCTGTTGTCCTGATGTGTACAGCTGGTCTCAGTAGGTTTCCATTTGCATGTCCCACCATCCCCTGAAAATTAATGTGGCAAACCACAAGGTATTTTACAATCACAGAAAATGAAAGTTGAGTGGGACTTGGCCATCTCAGTCAAATCTCGAAGGGACCCGTGCACGCTCTTCTGCTCCATCCACGACACCAGCCTTGCTCTGGGTTGGTGCCCTCCGCGGGGAGGGCTGTGGAGCCATCTTCGGCTCCTGACATCATGCAGGGTGTGACGAGCAGCCTGTTGTCCTTCTGCTGGGTCAGGGTCCCTTTCTCTCTCCTTCCCCAGCGTCATTTCTGCTGGTGATTAGTCATGCTGGAGCCCGGCTGAGTCAGAAGGGACTTGTGGGTGGTTTGTGGCCAGGCTGGAGTACTTGAGGCAGGACTTTCTAGGTTTATGTCTCTGTGCCCCAGGAGACAAGCATCGCAGGGCCCGGCCCTGCGCGGGTGCTGCGTGAGGGGTTGGCAATGAAATGAACTTCTCCAGAACTGAGTGAATGAGGGGGAGCAAAAGGAGCCAAGAGGTCCCTGAGATGCTCCTGTGGGGTGACAGGCACCTGCAGTGCCAGCGCCACAGGGCAAAGGCTTCAGGGCAGGGATAGTCACAGCAGCTGTGAAAGGTCTCCATTTTCTACCGTCGTCCTCACTTGAGGCACTGCGTGGACTTCAAGTGGATGTCGCTAAATTTAATATTTTCACTCAATTTTATTTACAATAAAGGTGATTCATTAAATAGATCACTAATTTTTGTGCTTGTGTGCAAAAATGTGTTTCATATGAACTTCTAACGTAAATCCTTTATCAGAGCTTGTGTTATGAGTCTGTGGTCCAGAAAATGTCACTGGGAGGGAGAAATGCCTTCCAGGACAGTAGGGTCTCCCCCGAAGTCCCCCCAAGGATGTATCTAAACAGGACGCTAAGGGGTGCCCGAGCTTCACCAGGCAGGACGGCGGGGGGCGGGCGGGAGAGCATCCTGCAGCGGTGGCGGGGCACAGCCCTGGAGCGTGGCTCGTGGGGGCGGGATGGGAGGAGGCTGGGGCCAGCAGGGAGGCCAAGGCCGGCCCGGAGCAGGCCTGGAATGATTTGCCTCGTGGGTCGGCCTCTGGCCTCACAGGCTGTGTCTGTGCCTGCAGGACGCAGAGGAGCAGGAGGAGCCTCGTGGCAAGGAGGAGCGCCAGGAGCCCAGCACCACAGCACGGAAGGTGGGCAGGCCTGGGCGGAAGCGCAAGCACCCCCCGGTGAGTGTCCTGTCCAGCCCCCACGCGCACGCCCGGCTCTGAAGGGTGGTGATGTGTGCCCTTCAGGGACCTGGGGAACATTAAGACCGGCGATGGGGCGGGCCCCTCCCGCGGCAGAGCTCGTTCCTATCTCCCGTTCTTTAAGCCCCACAAGCACCCTCACATTTCCCTGCTTTCTACATCGGGAACTGGGCGCCCCGAGAGGCCAGGCGACTTGACTGGTGGGTCTGGGAGCTGAAACTTGAACCAGGCCTCTGACCCCAGCCTTCCTCTGGAAGGGCAGCGAGAGAGCCTCCCAGAATCCCCAGGCAGGCTTGAGGCCTCCCTGGCCTGGCTAGGCGGGCTGCTCCCTCCCTGGCCATACACCCAGCCTGGGCCTCGGCCCCCACCTGGAGAGCCTGGAGGAAGGGAACTGAGGCCTGGGAGTCTAATCAAACAGTAGGGAAGAGATGCAGCCTGGCTGGTCCCTTTGGGAGAGAGGGGAGCCAGGGCGCTGTTGAAGTCCTGTAGGGCTGTAGGCGGCAGGACCAGCCTGCAAGCCCCAGGCTCCCGGGAGCCAGTGCCGGAGGTGATGAGGATCTCTGGGGGGCAAGGCGGTGGGCTGCAGGAGCCTGCCTCCCTTGCGCCTTAAACTCAGCAGTGGAGCAATAATTACTTCCCCCACCAAGGACAGCTGGCTCCTTTCTTTTAGCCCCTTCCAGCTGAGAATGGTAAACGTGAAGCAAGAAGGTGAGCGGAGCCAGGGGCTCGGGATTTATAACTCAGCCCTTCAAGGAAATGCTCTCGGTAGGGCAGGGGCCCAGGATTTCCTCCCTGGGGGTGGAGAGTCGGGGTGAAGGGGACCAAAGCGAAAGGGGGGTGGGAGGGGAGGGTTCTTAGAGGCGGGAGGTTGAGGGCCTGCTGGGTACCAAGGTGCATCACTGCCACTTCTGCTTGAAGATTTGGAGGGGTGGGACCCACGTGGAGTAATTCAACTGGTAATTTTAAACATTTTACTATTAAAACAAACATGGATATTTTATGGCCTAGAATGAAAAATTCACATGACATTTAAAAGATAAAACAGGACTCCAAAGGAATTTCCTGCATGTGGCAGACTCTGCAGGTTGTACCTGCAGATTCCCGGGTCCCCTGCACCCTCTTCTACCATAAGGGTACCTGAGGGAGAAGGTTGGGGGGTGCAGGCTGGAGTCAGAGTCCACTGTAGTCCTACTTCTGCACGAGTGCTGTGCTGCTCTCCTGGGGCTTGGCAGCTGTGATCTGCAGAGCAAACTCTTCCTGTCCCCAGTCCAGTTGCTGGGGACAAGAGCCACCACCTGTAGCAAACAGAGACCCAGCAACCCTTAGACTCACCTTTATGGGTCTCTGGAACCGGAGGGAAGGCACATCACTAAGAGGCAGGCGAAGCCAGGGATCAGAGGGTGGGGACATAAGAGGACAGTGAGCGGGAGGAGGGGCATGGCTGAGCTCATGGAGAAGGGGCTGTGGTCGTACATCCCCTACCTGGAGCAGGCTCCGGTGTGGAAGGAAAAACACTGTCTTTGGAACCAAAAGACCTGGGCTCTAATCCCACTCTACCACTGACCACCTGTGTGACCTTAAGTCGCTGCTTGGAACTCGAGTTCCCCTTCTGAACGATGAAGGTGATAGGGATGCTTTGGGTTCAGGTACCAACAAGCCACAGCACAGGCCGGGCCTATCCCTGCTGGGCCAAAGCTTTGCTCTTCAGGAGGCCACGGTAACCGCAGCTTCACAGAAGAAGCAGCATCTTTTAATGCTTCCCAGCTATGTGACCTTGAGCAAGTTACTTAACCTCTCTGAGCTGCTTCCTCATTGGTAACATATGGCTGCCAGTAAAACCTGCCCTGTGCACCTCCTGGGGCACCTTGCAAACAGCAAAGTGGACTCCAAACGCGCAGGGCTGCCAGTGTAATCCACTGCAGGGGCCAGTGTCCACTGGCAGGTGCAGGCCTTAGAGGCGGGGACCCAGCCTCGGCTTCTCAGCAGCCCTGGTGGGTGGCGGCGCACATCCTGCCAGTCCCCGTTACACCTGCCAGCTACCTGGGCTCCCAGGAGAGGCCCCAGGGCAGGAGGGAGCGGAGGAAGGCAAAGCTGACTGGGAGACCCCTGTTGGGAAAGGGAAGCCTCGCACATTGCAGGGACAGATAAATCCTGACCCCAGAGAGCAGCCAGCACAGCTCTTCCCGGGAGCCCATGTGGGGAGATTCCTGCTGCAGCCAGGGGTCAGCTGGAGGGTTCTAGCCGGAGGCCTTGGCACTCAGAGGGGGCAGGTACTGGTCCCGGCCTCCTCCCCTCCCCGGCAGGAACGCAGCAGGGAGGGCTCCTCAGGGACCAGTTGCAGCTGTGGCCCTGGGAGTAGATCACCCAGGGAGGTTTAAAGCAGCTGAGTGTGCCATCTGGCTAAGCCTGCGGAGGGGAGGGAGCTTGGCTTAGGTCCTGACAGGTGTGATTGGGGGGCGGGGGGATACTGGGAAGTGAGAGAAGAAACCCTGGCTGCAGGCTGGGGCCTTCCTCTGCGCCAACGTTGCACAGCCAGCACCGGACAGGGACAGTCAAGGCACATTCACGAGTGTCCTCACTAGCCCCAGCCCAAGAAATCCTGGGCTCTCTCCTTTCGCCCCCGAGGCTGTCTGTCCCTGGGCACCTTTGGCCTCTTGGCTGTGCCCTCACCCTACCAGCCGCCTCCTGCCCCAGCGTGCCCAGGCCGGTGCGCTGCCCTCGATAGCAAGCACTTTGCACGTACTGAGCTCCCATCGTGTGGGGAAGCCATGCAGATGAAGACTCGCGTTTCATTCGAGTGTGCTGCAGAGAAGAGGCCACACGAATCACAGTCAGTGCAGTACCTGGCATGTCTCTCTCCAGGAATCTCCAGGGACTCCATTTCTTAGGACGTGATCTGCAACGTCCATCTGCACTCCAGCTCCTCGCCGTCCGACCTCGCCTTCCACTTGGGCCTGATGACGCCGCTCCTTGGGCCATAGAAACCTTATCTTCTCGCTGCCCCCGAACACGCCAGCCATTTCCCTGCCGCCCCTTGCGTGGTGCACAGCCGTCCTTTCTCCCTGCCTACCCAGGGCCACAGCCCATCAGAGCCTGGCTTGAAAAGGAAGCCCAGCTCACCCACCGTGACCCATGCTGGCCTCTCCCTTCTTGAACTGTTTGTAAAATTAATAAAAATGAACTACTGAGACATCAAAGACAAGTTACAGGTCCACTGATCACCGGCTTGGGCAGCAGTGGTCTGCAGCCCCCACCTTGAGAAGCACCGATTGTCCCCTGTCCATATGGAACTCCAGTGTTTTCAGAAGCTTTTGTGTCAATGGAATATCGTCGCCACATCCACGGGTGTGATTTTGTATTTTACAAACGTATCATTTCTCGGTCGGTTGAGAATTTAAAAATCCAAAACCAAAACCTGAACTTTCACCCCAAATAGTTTGAAAAGCAGGTTGAGAGAGCTCACCTTGGTGCCACCCCCATTGCATGATTGCTGAGCTGAGCCACTCCACATCTGTCTGCCCACCTCACTGAGGACAGAGACTGCAAATAAAGGCTCGTAGCTGGACAGCACTGTATTGCCTACAAAGACCTTTTACAACGATTACCTTATTTGATGCTGACAACAAACCTGTGTGAGGGAGGTGAGGACCACTGTCGGCATCATCCCCACATTCAGAAGAAGAGACTGAGGTTCAGAGAGAATGATCAGGGTGTGAACTCCACACCTCCCAACTGCAAAGCCCGTCCGTGGTGCTCTTTTCTCCTCACCACTGCAGCCATGGGGTCTGGCTCCTGGGCACCTATGTAAAGGTTCTTTTTAAGTTAATGTGGGAATGCGGGGCTGCTTGAAAAAGTGTGCAGAACTGGTCCAAAAATCATACAAAGAAAATATAACTGAGGAGCGCGGCTGACCCAAATACCACAGAGCCCGTGTGTTAGCGGGGGAGGCCGCGGTGGTCTGAGGACTGCAAGGTGGGCCTGCTTAGCACCCGGCAGCAGCCTGGGTTATCAGCGGCACTGGCCAGCCAGCCAGGATGCTGCCGTCTGAGCAGCAACAGGAAACAGGAAGCAGCTGCGGGGCTGGGCGGGGCTTAGGAAGGGGGCTGGCACCTGGGCCAGGGCCGTGACAGGGAGGTGGGGACCAGCGTGGGGGCTGAGCCTGTGTGTGGGCGTGTGTGTCGGGGCTGAGAGGAAGGGGCAGCTCCTGAGGACGTAGCAGGATGACAAGTGAGGGTGTCTGAGGCTGGTTCCTGCCTATCAAAAGCCCCGACTGTCTTGCAAAGGCCTTTGTCCTTTGTGGGTGGCTCCAGTCGGGGCACTGGAGGGACTGTTTCTGCCCTTGCCCACCAGACCCTGGGGGGTGATGGGCCCCGCAGGGTTTGTCCCCTGTTTACTAGCTATATGTATTTACTCATTGAAGATTTATACCCACCAACTTCCTCCTGTGTTATTTTTGCTCAGAGGGAGCACTCTGAGGTCACCTCTTGCTAAGAATAACCCAGAAAGGGAGGGAGGAGGGGGCTGGGAGCTGGCACTGAGCTCAGCTGAGCTGAAACTAGCGTTACTTGCGCCACGTCTGACCCTCCAATGCAACGCAGGAGTGAGTTCAAGAGGGCGACTGCCTCACTTCGGAGCTAAGACTTGGGGTATAAACCGGGAAGTCAGGGAACCATTCTGCTGAAGCTTAAATCAGCTGGGCACAGTTTAAGGCAGCTGTCAGGGGTTTGCAGTATTGGCTAATTTTCCAGCCTAATATGACCTTTTGATTCTTCTCCAAGTTAAGACAGAGCTCAAATCCCCTCCTTGTTTCCAGATCAGAACTGCTCGTGCGCGAGCCCCAGGAGCCTTGACTGTATGAAATCGGTGTCCCCTTGTTTTTATGCACAAAACTTCTTGAAACGGTATCTCCCATTCCCGGGCTCCAGCCCCCGGCCAGCCCCTCCAAGGTGGCTTTCCTTCCCATGAGGCTTCCTCAGTAC